AAAATATTTGTTTTGCAAACAACCATGTTAAATATCTGCCTTAAGAAAACCTAATTATTTCCCTTTAACTATGAAAATGTTTTAATTAATAAAACTGATTCAACGTACTACTAATATAGTTTATTAACTAAAGAACCAAACAGTAAGACATAAAAACCATAGAGAACCATACCATTTGCTGGACTCTCCTGAAGCTCTGGTCACATTAAGTGCTCTTCGCTAATGTTTGGATGTAAATGGGGGCACCCAGTGCAGTAAAATCAGTCACATTAATCAAAGAATATTTTTAAAATATGTGTTTTCATTTAAATCATTCAAAACCATTAAGTATGTTTTACAATATGCAAAAAACATACGAACAAAGCCTGGTTCTATTCAAATATGGTGTTTTGGTGATGAGATTTTTGAAGCTGCTGGATTGGTTATCTGTTCAAGGTGTGCCAAACTCTTACTTAAATATACATCACTCCTTAACCAATGACAGCTGAATCTATACCTCAATTCTCAACCAATGACAGCTAGAGATCTACATCACTCCTCAATCAATGACGGTTGATTTTAGCATTTTTAAAATTCCTCTTTAACTTTTACTACCAAGTTTGAAGGCAAAATCTGGAGGAAAAATTTTTAAAAAATCTAATTTTGGGCTGATTGTAGGTCCTCTAAGCTGTGATGCAAAAATCTAATTTGCCTGTTGGACGTAGTGTAGAATCCCATACAATTACCACATGCAAAAACAACAGAGTCCAGTCAATCATTTGAACATATTTAAAAAAGCATGCACACTTTATAGAGCACGAATATTAAACTGAGCAATTGTTGCAGATGGTGTGGTGGTGGAGGCATGGGACAATTATAAAATCCTGCTGAAAAAGTGAGCATTTGTTCAATCTAGAGCTTTTTACACACAAGTTACACAGAATCATTTGTAAAATTGTTATTGCTCAGATTTGACAGTTTCATAAACTTCTTCCATCCAAACTAATGATTCATTTTTAAATCAAGGGTTGGAGAACTGAGTACAGAAACATTTTTGTAGTTTTGACTCATTTTTGCACATGATGTATTGTAAAAGATTATTGTAAAGTCTGAGAGTCTACCACCACAGTATTAGATGTTTTTGTTAATATGGAAAATAAAACTGAAGGTAAAAACAGATCAGCTGATAAAGAAATAACTTTTAATTTAGGCTAGAATGCATGAAGTTATGAAGACCTCATGTATTTTATAGTTAAGTCCATCCATCCATCCATCCATCCATTCATCCATCCATCCTCTTCCTCTTATCTGGGGGAGGATTGCAGGGGCAGCAGCCTAACCAGAGACCCAGACTTCCCTCTCCCCAGCCACTTGGACCAGCTCCTCTGGGGGAATCCCAAGGTGTTCCCAGGCCAGCTGAGAAACATAGTCCCTCCCAGTGTGTCCTGGGTCTTCTGCTGCGTTCCATATACATCCTGTTCCCAAAACTGAGAAGTGGTAGTGACGTAATTTCCCAACAAACCGTATGAAAATGTATTCCAGTTAGCCGACAGGCAATTGTATTGCAGCTGCTAACCTAGCTACAACACTGCTACAATGACAATGAGAAAGAGAGCTCTACTACGTACGACAATGATTTTAATAGGAACAGTACGCACAGAAAATGCACTATTTGTGTGAGCTGCCCACCGGCCCACAACGTCACGAGTTGAGGTCAGCAGCACACCATCCCCACAATAAACATTGTTGGTGCTGCACTGCTTCCCCCTCCTGAGACGCCGGATGGTGGACCAGAATCGCCTCGAAGCCGTGCGGAAGTCTTTCTCCGTGGCCTCTCCAAACTCCTCCCACGCCCGGGTTTTTGCCTCAGCGATCACCCGAGCCGCATGCTGCTTCGCCCGCCGGTATCCATCAGCTGCTTCTGGAGTCCCGTAGGCCAGAAAGGCCCGATAGGACTCCTTCGGCTTGACAGCATCCCTCACCGAAGGTGTCCACCAACGGGTTCGAGGGTTGCTGCCACGACAGGCAGCAACAACTTTGCGGCCGCAGCTCCGATAAGCCGCCTCAGCAATGGAGGTACGGAACATGGTCCATTCAGACTCAATGTCCCCCACCTCCCCCAGAACGTGTTTGAAGTTATGCCGGAGATGGGAGTAGAAGCTCCGTCTCGCAGGGGACTGCGCCAGACGTACCCAGCAGACCCTCACTACACGTTTGGGCCTGCCAGGTCTGACCGGYTTCCTCCCCCACCACCGGAGCCAACTCACCACCAGGTAGTGGTCAGTGGACAGTTCCGCACCTCTCTTCACCTGAGTGTCCAAGACATACGGCCGCAGATCCGATGAAACGACGACAAAATCGATCATCGAACTGCGGCCTAGGGTGTCCTGGTGCCAAGTGCACATATGGACACGCTTATGCCTGAACATGGTGTTCGTGATGGACAATCCGTGACGAGCACAGAAGTCCAACAACAGAACACCACTCGAGTTCAGATCGGGGCCGTTCCTCCCAACCACGCCCCTCCAGGTCTCACTGTCATTGACCACGTGAGCATTGAAGTCCCCCAGCAGAACAAGGGAGTCCCCAGGAGGGGCACCCTCCAGTACCCCCTCTAAGGACTCCAAGAAGAGTGGGTAATCTGAACTGTTGTTCATCCCGTAAGCACAGACAACAGTCAGAACCCGTCCCCCCATCCTTAGGCGGAGGGAGGCTACCCTCTGGTTCGCCGGGGTAAACCCCAATGTACAGGCGCCAAGATGGGGGGCAACATGTATGCCCACTCCTGCCCAGCGCCTCTCACCACAGGCAACTCCAGAGTGGAAGTACGTCCAGCCCCTCTCAAGGAGACTGGTTCCAGAACCAGAGCCATGTGTCGAGGTGAGGCCGACTATTTCTAGCCGAAACCTCTCAGCCTCGTACACTAGCTCCGGTTCCTTCCGCACCAGAGAAGTGACGTTCCACGTCCCAAAAGCCAGCTTCTGCAGCCGAGGATCAGACCGCCAGGGTCCCCTCCTTCGGCCGCCGCCTATTACATACTGCACCCGACCCCTTTGGCCCCTCCTACAGGTGGTGAGCCCGTTGGAAGGGGGACCCACGTCTCCTTTTCGGGCTGAGCCCGGCCGGGATCCGTGGGTGAAAGCCCGGCCACCAGGTGCTCACCATCGTGCCCCACCTCCAGGCCTGGCTCCAGAGGGGGGCCCCGGTGACCCGCGTCTGGGCGAGGGAATGCCAGATCCAATTTTTTTGATCATCATAAGGGGTCTTTCGGGCTGTGCTTTGTCTGGTTCCTCACCTAGGACCTGTCTGCCTTGGGTGACCCTACCAGGGGCATAAAGCCCCAGACAGCATAGCTCCTAGGATCATTGGGACACTCAAACCCCTCCACCACGACAAGGTGGCAACCCAAGGAGATTGACACCGATTGGGCAGTTTATTGCTCCAGATTATTAATTCATTGAACATTTTGTTGACTCCGGTTGTCGGGTCGCTACTCCGGGTAAAAGAAATTACCAAAATTGTTGCCAACTCAGGTTAGTGGGGTTGTTGCTCCAGGTAAAAAAACTCACCGAAGATGTTGTTGACTGGTTAGTCAGGTTGTTGCTCCAGGTAAAAAAAAAAATAACTGGAAATGTTGCTGACTGTGGTTAGTCGGGTTGTTGCTCCGGGTAGAAAATATTCACTAGAAAATGCTGTCAACTCCAATTAGCTGAGTTGTTACTCCGGGTAGTAAAAAAAAACTTACCGGATTTATTGCTGACTGGTTAGTCAGGTCATTGCTCCGGGTAAAAAAAAACTCTACTGAGATGTTGCTGACAGTGGTTAATCTGTGTATTAGCATGTGTTTTATATACTTAACATAAGATAATATTTTTATTACCTTTCTTTGCAGCAAGATTGACTCAAGTGGCTCAACTAAACCACTTTAATTCAGAGGCATTGTGATCCATGAAGTGAACCGGATTTACCGGTTCCATTTCCAACAGATTTGAAGTTTGTGTTTAGTCTTTTTTTTATTGAACTTATGCCATATTTTCTCTCTCGCATTCATTATGTTTTTGTGTATTATTATAGATTTTTGCCCTGCATTGACCTTGTATTTTGTGTCACAATTTTAGAAATTAAATCTTGATTTGATGTTTCAATTTTCATTACTTATGTGTAATTATGTTTTTCTGTTTCACTTTATTCTTTCCACTATTTTTTTACAGTTAATGATTGTACAGCACCTTGTGAATATATTTCTGTGAAAGGCGCTTTATAAATAAAACTTTACTTACTGACTTACTTTCTTACTGACTGACTGACTGACTGACTGACTGACTGACTGTCTTACTGACTGACTGACTGACTGACTGACTGTCTTACTGACTGACTGACTGACTGACTGACTGACTGACTGACTGACTGACTGACTTACTTTCTTACTGACTGACTGACTGACTGACTTACTTTCTTACTGACTGACTGACTGGCTGGCTGGCTGGCTGGCTGGCTGGCTGGCTGGCTGGCTGGCTTACTTACTGACTTACTTACTTACTTACTTACTTAGTCCTCTCTGTTATTTAAGATTTATAAAAAATTACAGATTTGAGTTTTTGTTTGAGCTCAGACAAAAACATCTTGATTCTTTGACATTTTAAAACAATCCAGCTTCAACACAACACTTTAAAAATCGTCCCTGAGGTGGTTTGAAAATGGATGAAGGGATGAAGGAGGTGGAGGAGGTTTGATTTAATTTGGAAGAGGAATGGGAGGGAATTTGATCGCCGGATAAAGAGATGCCATCTACAATCCTACTTTGTCCTCAGAAAAACGAACCCAGCTCTGCCCAGCCTCCACGTTCTGCCTGCCTCAAAATATCTCCTTTGTAATGACCTGGTCCAACACCCCCTTGCCCCTACTTCCTCCTCCTGCTACCCTCAGATTGGTGAGGGCCAACAGGTGCCGGCACCACAGGCATCCCAGTACAAACACATTCCAGCCTCTCATGACTCCCCGCACACCATCAGTTCCTGGTTTCAGTTGTGGAGCCGAGCTCGGACACCGGTGCTGACCCGACCCATTTAAACGTAATTAAAAACTGAGGCCTTTTGCAGAGACGGGATAAAGTCCAGAAAGATGTGATGAACGTCGTCACGAGACAAATGAGGATAAAGATGAACGTTTTTTTTACTGTTGGCAGTTTTGTTTGTCTCACTTTTGCTGGTAAGAAATGTTCCTGTTACTTTATTTAAAATGTTTTACTGAGTTACTGCTGTTTGTTTATTTGTTTACAGCAGAAACACACTTTAGTTTTAATATTTGAAGAATTCACAAGTGCTGTAAATATTTTTGTGTACTAAACTGAAATATACAGCTTTTGCCTTTGACGGTGACCTTCGACCTCAAAGGTCGCCCCAAAAACAAACCATTGACCTTCGCCTTCTGGTCACCTGCAGTGCAGTCAGTCAAATCTATTCTTATTTTCTGATGAGCTGCCAAAACCAAATCCACCATCACCAACAATCTGATCTGAGTTCATGGCTCGTTAAGAAACTCGTTAGCATTAGAGAACAACAGGGGTGAAAGCTGAAAGACAGCTGAAGCTTACTGAAGTAGCTAAAACTTAGTTGTTAAAGTTAAAATAACCAGTAGACAGGCTAAACACAGCGGAACAGCAGCTAAAATATGTAAACTATCTTAGAACTGAAAGTAGCAAAACAGTAGCTAAAAGCTAAAACTAGCTAACAGCAGAAACTGGCATAATAGCAAAAAGTAGCAGAGGAGTAGTTTAAAGCTGAAAGTGTCAAAACAGCTAAACTAGCTAAAATCTGAAAATTGGGGAAAAAAGCTTCAAAATAGAACTAGCTAAAAGCTGGATTTGGCAGAAAAATAGCTAGAAGCTAAAGCTAACCAAACTTGTTAAAAACTGAAAGTGGCAGAACAGTAACTAAAATCTGGAAGTAGCAAAAGTATATCAAATAGCTAAAGCTATCTAAGCACTGAAAGTGGCAGAACAGTAGCTAAAACAAGTAAACTAGCAAAAAATGAAACTGTCAAAACAGTTGCTAAAAGCTAAAACTAACAAAGATGGAAATTGCAGAATGGCTAAAAGCTAAAATTTGTAAAAGTTGCTAAAACTGTGAGTGGCAGAAATATAGCTACAGACTAAGACTAGCTAAAAGGGACAAAAGTGTAGCTAAATCTAGCTAAAGGCTGAAAGTGGCAGATCAGTAGGCAAAACAAGTAAGTTACCCAAAAGGTGAAAGTGGTGAAGCAGTAGCTAAAACTAGCAAAAGCTGGAAATAGCAGAACAATGGCCAAAACTAGCTAAATTTGCTAAAAGTAGCTAGTAGTTGTTTAAAATTCAAGGAATAAAACTTTTTTTTGTTAAAATGTGTTAGCCTTTCCTCTATTGAAAGTGTACTTTCAGTAGACATTTGTAGTTTACTATAATATGTATTTTATGTGCCTCTCAGCAAGAAGGTCACCGGTTCAAATCCCGGTCACGGGACCTTTCTGGGTAGAGTTTGCATGTTCTCTCCGTGCATGAGTGGGTTCTCTCCGGGTACTCCGGCTTCCTCCCACAGACCAAAAACATGACTGTTAGGTTAAYTGATAACTCTAAATTGTCCCTAGGTGTGAGTGAGAGAGTGAATGGTTGTTTGTCTCGTTTGTCTCTATGTGTGGCCCTGTGATGGACTTGCGACCTGTCCAGGGTGGACCCCGCCCCTCGCACTGTGACTGCTGGATATGGGCACCAGTGACCCACGCGACCCTGAAAAGGAATAAGCGTGTACAGAAAATGGATGGATGGATGGATGTATTTTATGTTCTTCTGAACTTTGTGTTTTTGGGTCATTTGCTGTTGAGCAAGATCAGATTCTTTGACTGTTGATGCTCATCAGCAAATAACAGGTGGAGAAAATCAGGTTCCTGTTGGTTTTAACTTTTATGTAACCAAACAAATCCCACTTTCAAGGGAGTACCCAAAGAAAACCCACACAAACACGAGGAGAACCGGGACTCAAACCCAGGACCTTTTTGTTGTGAGGCAATAGTGGTAACCAATGTTGATTTCTGATCCTTGGTGATCTTGTATCATCTATCAGTCGATGTCTGAATTACGCTAAAGACCAACCGTCTATCCTGTAGATATTTTTAGTTCACCATCGCAGTTAGGATTGAAACCAAACCACAGTGAGTGTGACTCATCGATCCACGGAGAGCAAACATGTCGTCATCTGACTTTCATTGGCTTCATTGAATTTCACGCGTGCTTTAAACAATAAGATTTAATGAGCAGGTCATCAAATATATTTTACTCTTTTATGAGCTTTCTGTGTTACCATCCCTGACTACCATCTGTGTGAACTTCTGTCATCTAGGAGCCTCCGAGACGGAGCGAAGACTTCATCAGAAGTTATTTAAGGACTACAACATGAAAGTCCGGCCGGCTAATCACTGGGAGGAGAGGGTGACGGTGCGGGTGGGGATGACCCTGTCCCAGCTTGTCAGCTTGGTAAGTACACAAGAAGCATTCAAGTTTATAACCATCTCATTTACATATAAAGTGATCTGTTTTAAGAAAAATCAGTGTCTCCATAAAACATCACATTCTCAACAGAATGAGAAGAACGGAGAGATGACAACCAACGTCTTCATGAATCTGGTACGAGCGCCTACTTCTAATCTGTCAATCGGTTTTATATCAGTGGGGTTAACCGGCTTAAACGTCACCTTCCTTTTCCTCTCCGTCCATCCCAGAACTGGACGGACTACAGGTTGTCGTGGACCCCTGCAGAGTACGACGACATTTCGGTTCTGAGAATTCCTCCCAATAAAGTGTGGCGTCCGGACATCTATCTCATAAACAAGCAAGTATCTGACAGTAAAAAGAACTATGTAAATTCTGTACATGAAAGAAAGTGTGAAAAGATTAGGTGTTTCAATCGCCTTGGAAATCCCCTGACCTAAAATGTTGAGTCTCTGGCTCATATAGATACCATCAAATCTAATATCGGCCCAGTTTTACATATCGGGCCAATACCGATATTAACGCCTATGTATCGTACATCCCAAGTTATATATGAATGTAAATGTCTCTGTCCTCTTCACAGTAATGATGGACAGTTTGACGTGGCTCTGTATGTCAATGTCTTGGTGTACAGTAATGGGATGGTCACCTGGTTGCCACCAGCCATTTACCGCAGCTCCTGTTCTATAGAGGTACTCTCGATGTTCAGATCTCTGGCTGTTTCTAAATGTTTACAAATAGTGTGTGTGGATGGAGTGATGTAAAAGATATAAAATAAACAAAACTGACACATCTGTAGGTGGCGTACTTTCCATTTGACTGGCAGAACTGCAGCATGGTTTTTCGCTCGTATACTTATGACGCCTCCGAGGTTGACCTGGAGTACTACCTGGATGAGGATGGGGCAGAGATCCACGAAATCGTCATAGATGAGAATGCCTTCACTGGTAAGATTCAACAACTTTTATTCCTAAAGGTTTATTTTGAGCTTGTTGATAAACTTCTCTCTCCACAGAGAACGGAGAGTGGGCTATCCGTCACAAACCTTCAAGGAAGAACGTTAAGGACGACCTGTACGAGGACATTACCTTTTATCTCATCATCGAGAGGAAGCCTCTTTTCTACATAATCAACATCATCGTACCCTGCATCCTCACCAGCGTCTTGGCTATATTTGTCTTTTACCTGCCTCCTGGAGCAGGTCAGGACAATTAACGGGGGTGGGCATGGTTCTGCTAATCAGCTAATAACTTTTAAAAACTGTTAGCTGACCAATTAGCCTCTGATAAATTTGGTTCTGCCAACAGCTAACTAATAGACTGACATCAACAGGTTTGCGTCAGTCCCACCAGTCTTCAGACTGAAGGAGACAAAGACATGTGACAGTTGTCTTCGTGGTTAGTGATTAGTGTTGGCTTCCACTAATTTTAACTGGTTTAGTGTTAGCGTCTGTAAAATTTGTTAAGTTTAGCTGGGTACATTACTGGGCTAAGTAAAGCAAGTTAGGAGTTAAGACAGTAGCAGATTATGAGTTAGAAAAGCTGACTCTGTCATCTTGGTGGTTACTTAGCAGTTAGTGATTGTGCCGGCTCGGCCCGGTGGCTGCCCGGTGGGGTTTGGGTCCCTCTGGCCCTGTCGGGCCTTGACCTGGGGTGGGGCGCCCTGGGGGGCCCGGGCCTCTGTGTCCATGCCTGGACCCACTCTGGCGCGGTGGGTACCGGGAGGGCCTGTGAGTTCGTCACTGCTGGCCCCAGGGGTTGCTGTGTGTGGTCGCTGGTGGGGCTCTTCCGGTTCTCTCCGGTGGTCCTCTTTGTGGGGTGGGTGGGCAGCCCTTCCGGCATGGGTGTCTCTGGGGCTGCGCGCTTGGGGTCCCTCTCGGGTTCTTTGGCGCTGGTCTCCCTTGTGTCGGCTTCTGGCTTTGCGGGTCGGGTCTGTGGTCCCCCCGCACTCACTTTGAAACATTCCATTGGAGAGATCTTGTTTATACATGCAGGCTCACAACCGCACACAAACAGGTGTTTACATCCTGGGTTTTCTATTCGGGCACTGACTGAATGGTTTTTGCATATGTGTATGTATAGATACATGTATATGTGTGTGTGTGTGTATATATATATATATAT